GGCACCATTCTACTAGGGGCGGAATGGGGTCGTGACACTGCAGGTTTGTGTTTGGTTATTTTCCTGCTAGGATTTTCAAATCATTGCATAACATATTGGTTTGCAGTGCACCAAAAATCATACTAAACACTAATCAGAAATAACAATAAACACTGTAAAAAATTTATATGATATCCCAAAAAATCAAACAAAATATACAACAAATAAACCTTAGAGAACCGTTGATTTAGCTGTTTTGATTTTTTTATTATTAAATTAGATTTTAACCCTTGTTGATTTAGACAATCTTTTCCAATTCATATTAGTTGAAGTTAAAAACTTAAAAATTCAAATAAGAATAAAATAAAACTAATAGAAAAAATGACGATAATTAAGGGAATCAAATGAAATTATTTTATTTTTAGTTTTTACGGTGGGGAGGTTGGCGTGGGTGGGAAGATGTTTGACTCTCTATAGAGTTGTGTTGTTTTGAGCTCAGCGACCCCTGCAATACCCTTCTCTACTAGCTTTCTCAAATTCTTTGATTTCACAGCCGGAATTGTCAACAAATTACATCCAACTAATTGTTTTCATTAATAATATATTCGGTGGATCTTACCAAATGAATAGTTTGAATCATTGAAACAAGACCCATGATGGTCCCAAGTAACATGAACACGATGGTCAAGTTTTAATTTAAACTTACATAAGTCCAACCTCTATACGTTGACTCCCTTCCAATCTATAATCTAGACTAGAGGTTGTTTTCCCAGCTCATGTTTTCCACCATCGGTCATGTTTTGATTATCTAAATTGTTTATTTTGTCAAGTCATTTGTAAAAAAATAAAAATAAATAAATAAAAAACTAAATGGATTCGATATTTATAACTTGTTCAATTTGTCACATTTGTCACTAAAAGGTAAATAACAAAAGTATTTTTTAAAATATAACCATTTTTTTTGGTTTTGTAACAGATGTGATTAATTAAATAGATTATAAATATCATATTAATTTTTTTTTATAAATCATATATACAAAAGATATTATAAAATAAACGTTTGAATCATTAAAAGAAAAGCGGTGATAAATTTTACGATTCTAAACAATAATACCCTCCTATCTAAATCACAGATTAGAGAAGAACCCAGTCCTCTACGTAATATGGTCGGTCGCGTTGAGGTAATTTTTCTGAATAACTCCACCTTCTTGACTTCTTTTCCATGGAGGTTCTGTTCCTTTGAATTGATTGCTTTGAGGCCATGTTTGTTTATCGGTGTGGGTGGGAGGATTGGAGTATTATGGTTATGAGTCTTCTCCATAGCTTGTTTGGTGATAATTTGGGAGGGAAGAGTAATTGTTCGAGGGGCTTACTAATCCTCCTTAGTAGAAAGATTAGCTTGGCTGAATTTTGAGTGAGATCAAGAAAATTGTGAACAAATTGAATCTATTTTATATAAAAAAATTATTTTTTTTACCAAGTGCACTAGTTTGTTTTAATATTTGTTTTAGGTTTTTTAATATAAAAATAATTTATTTATTTATTTTATATAAAAATAATTTAATAATTTCATTGCTAGTCATCTCATACACTACCATCATAACAAATACAGTTTTACTTAATTCCCTCACTAAAAATTCTCACATTAACAATCTCTTCATTAACCATTCTCTCATTAGCAATTCCATCCAACCTAATTCGTTAAATCATTAATAATCTCATCTAATTTAATCCGCTAAACAAACGTGACCTAGAAGTTAAAATCACTTTTGGTTTACGAATTAGAGAAGAACCCAGTCCTCCACGTCATATGGTCGCTTTGAGGTAATTTTTCCGAATGACTCCACCTTCTTGACTTCTTTTCCATGGAGGTTCTGTTCAATTGAATTGATTGCTTTGAAAGTTGAAATCGCGTCTTGTTTGTTTTGACAGAATTTTTTTAGGGTAAATTATGTAAATGGTTCTTATAATTTATATGAGGTATCAATTAAGTTTCTGTTGTTTTAATTTGTTTGATTTTACCTATTAATTTAACGGATTGTGTTATATTAGTCCCATAAATAACAGGTTGTCAGGTTTGGTTGACAAAAACTCAAACCATGTGCCAATTTAGTTTCAGTAGTTTACACAATACGTGATAGGGACTAAATTGACACATCGTATAAACTACAATGACCAAAATGACACATGGTTTGAGCAAATGATAACTTTCTATCCGTCAAACCTAACGGTCCTTATTTATTGAAACAATATCACATAATCCCTTAAATTAAGGGGCAAAATTAAACAAATCAAAACAATAGAGACAAAATTGACAAATCATGAAACTACAAAAACTATTTCCGTAATTTTTTTTTAAACTAAATATTGTGAAACAAATATAACTAATGTTTAGTTAATAGTGAGAATATTTTCTTTTCTTCAATCTAATAAATTGGACTGGTGGATTTTTGTAACGAAATATTTTTTTATATTTTATTGTGACCTTAAAACTAATATAATCAGTGACTTTGTTAATAATAAAAATATATTTTTTTCTCTCCAGTTTAAATTGGATTATGGGTACTGTTGGATTTCCATGGACCTACCATAGAGTTCACATCAATAATCCGAACCATTCAATGTGTTGGGGTCATCGAGTATTTTATCGCTGTAAAAATCAGGTTTATTGGATTTCGATAGCCACTTGATCAGATCACATTTATATCAACGGTTAATATGATTTTAAAGATAAATTGTTGACACAAATGTGATTCGATACAGTGGCTATCGATATTTGATAAAATTGATTTTTTACAGAGATGAAGCACTTAACGAATCTTACACATTGAGTGTTTGGATCATCGATGTAGGCTCCTTGATGGACCCACAAAGTACTAACAACACCCTCTAGTTGGGAAAACCAACTAGAGAGAAACCTATCCCATCCCAAGGGCCTCGTTTGGCAACAAACTTTTTTAGTAACTTTTTGGTTTTTTGGCTAAAATATGATAGAAAAAAATTAGTTTGTTTAGGATGACTTTTTGATTTTTTATGAAAAAATGTGCAAAAAGTAGAGAATATCTTTGACTTTTTGATTTTTTGATTTTTGGGCGACTATTACTTCTTTAGCGGGTTGTGTAGGGTTATTTGTTCTCTTTTCTTTAGGCTACCATGAACATATCATTCTGGTGCCTTATTTCTGTCCTATACGTTTTACTCTGTTTATCAGGTGGGCCCCTTTCCTCTTGTTTTTTTTGGATAGGTGTGCCATGATGTTGCCCGTTTGTCTTTTGTTTTCTTTTTCGTTGTTGTATAGCGTTTGGTAGGGCCTAGGGTATGCCCATTGTATTTGTATTCATTTGTCTTTAATTTATGACTTGCTTACCCAAAAAAAAAAAAAAAAAAAGAGAGAGAATCTTTGACTTTTTGGTATATCTTGTTAGCTTTTTGATTTTTTTAGTAATTTTTTAATTAAAATCATCACTTGCCAAATGAGAATTTTAGTTGTAAAAAACCAACTTGAGTAAAATCTACTAGTAATAACATTAGTAAGATTTTAGCCTAAAAAAAAAACATTAGTAAGATTTTAATTTGAAAAATATTTTTTGTACTTTTTAAAAGTAGAAAATATTTTCCTACCCAATAAGCTTGCTTTCCACAAATTATGAAAAATATTTTTGTACTAATTTTTCTTTTTCATTGTACAAACACTATAATATGTTAAAAATAAAAATTTTGTGAAAACATATGGACTGTAAATCAAGAGCCAAACACCTACAATATTGAATCAATGATGGTAGGTAGCAATTTTTTTTTTTTTTTGGGATAAATTATAAATACTTCCCTTAAAATTTTCTTAATATACAGATTGTCTTTTATGGTTCTACAAATTACATTTCACGCTTTCAAGTTTCTAATCGCATAATAATTGACCGTTTTTTGTTAATAAATCATTAACTAATTAATATTTTTTAACAATGTTAGAAATATATTTCAATTAACAATTCATGTAAAGTTCTATCAAACAGCTATTAAACCAGCGATATTGTATAGAACGGAATGGTGGCCAATTAAGAAACAACATATTGATAAGATGAGTGTTGCTGAGATGAGAATGCTAAAGTAGATATGTGGCAAGACTAAAAACGACAGAGTTAGAAATGAGTATATTCGTGAATGGGTAGGAGTAGTACCGATTGAAGATAAATTGAGAGAAAATAGATTGAGATAGTTTGGTCATATATAACGGAGACCAACAGCGGCAGCAGTGAAAATATACAATACAGTGCCGGTAGAGGTAAGTGTAAGGGGAAGGGACAGACCTAGATTGATGTGGACTAATGTAATAAATAGAAATATGAATCTCCTTAATTTGACCAACCAAATAGTATTTGATAGGATCGAATGGAGAAAAAAGATTAATGTAGCTGACTCCATTTGATGAGATTTATGACGTAGGTTGATTTGGTTTGATTTATAAGAGAGTAGTTAGAAATTTTATCTTTTCTGTTAATTATGTTAAATAGAAAATTATGATAATGAGATATTTGTAATTTCTAGGATCACAAAAAATTTTATATTTTAAGTAAAATTCAAGAGCTATATTTGTAATTTTTTAAAAAAGAGGGATGCACTGGTCTTTCATGGTCCACCACCATCACTATCACCATCTATTTCAATCATTTTCCCTCTTGCAACCTTCACCCCAAGTCTTTCAGTGTCTGTCTCAACAAAATTTATTTATTTATTTTTAATGGTTCACACTTTAAAGAGGTAGGAAATTCAGATTAGAATATTATATATATACCAGCCACCCTGATAAAATAATCGATTCATCATTTAAAAAAACCATGGCAAAATTGGTTATTGTGCTCTACACTACCCTTGTGTTGTGGTGCTACTTCTTGTGCAATATCCCTGCAGCAAAATGCATCATGGCAAATAATGAGACAGATAGAGTAGCATTGGAGGCCTTCAAGGCTGCAATTGTTGAAGACCCATTTGGTGCCCTCTCTTCCTGGAATCATTCACTCCACTAGTGGAACGGCATTTTGTGTAGTCGCCAACATCCTGATAGAGTCATTGGGATAACTCTAAGGTCACAAGGCCTGGTTGGATCACTCTCATCTCATGTAGGAAACCTCTCCTTCCTCAAAAGAATCATTCTTCCAAACAATAGCTTCCACGGCCCAATTCCACAGGAGATGGGTCGCTTGTTTCGGCTTCAAATAATAGAATTCAGCAACAATTCGTTTGACGGTCAAATACCAACCAACCTTTCTCGCTGCTCAAAACTTGAATATCTGGACTTCGTCAACAACAATCTAACTGGAAACATCCCAGCTGAGTTGGGCTCTTTGTCAAGGCTTCAAACTTTAGCCTTGAATACAAACAAGCTTTCAGGTACCATCCCTCCTGCCATTGGAAACCTCTCATCTCTTTCCTATCTCGATTTATCGAAATGTAATTTGCATGGGGAGATTCCGGCGGAAATTGCTAGGCTTCGAGGCCTGGCATCTGTCTACTTATATGCGAGTAACCTATCTGGCAAGGTTCCGTCTGGCCTTTACAATATCTCTACCATCAATTGCTTATTACTACACTATAACCAACTTGAAGGCAATATTCCTTCTGATATAGGCTCCACACTTCCAAATCTCAAGTTACTTCATCTTTACCGCAATTTATTTACTGGAACAATTCCTACTTCACTGTCAAACGCTTCGGAGCTCGAATCAATACAATTATGTGAAAATGATTTCAGCGGGACAATGCCGAGGGATCTTGGAAAACTTCTGAGTCTTCGATGGATAAGTGTTCCTCAAAATCAGTTGCAGGATGACCTCACTTTTATTTCGTCTATAACAAATTGCACCCGTTTGCAACTTATTGATGTTGGAAAAAATGGTTTTATATAGGCATATTTTTTTTTAACCCAATTTGGGTGGACCCCAAACGTCTTTTGGGGTGGGTCCGAAGAGGTGAAGTGATGAAGACGGAACGTCAAAACCATTTATGAGTGAATAGGAAGATGACGTCGTTTTCGGGTTTAACATTAATTTTTTAGATAAAATTCTTTTGAATTTTTTCAATAAAAAATTATTGTGGGAATTTAATTTAATTCTAAATTCAAATTTTGAGTTCCTAAGTGGTTTCTTAAAATGTGTAATTTTAGAATTTAATTTAATTCTAAATTCAAAATTTTGGGTTTCTAACTGGTTTCTAAAATTTGTACCTCTTACTTTATTTATTAAACTATTCAATTTGTTTAATATATATATATGTTCTTTAGTTTAATATATATATATATATATATTTAATTAGTTTAATTAATAATGTTTTACAGGTTTGGGATTTGTTCCTTCAAACAAACCAACAGACCCTTTTCAAATTGTTTGGAAGTATAAAACCGTTGCTGTTCAAACAGTCAGGTTATTTGAAATTCAACACTTGCGTCTGTTCTTTCAAATTGCAACCTGTTCAGACCTCCGTTTTTGCCTATAAATAGAACCATATTCAGCAGTCTGAAGTATGAAAAATTCAGTCTGATTGTGGTCTTTTTACTGTCCTAAATTCTGCATTTTTTTTTTCCATTATTCTTCATATTAGTTTTAGTATAAATTTCAGAGAGTTAGAACACAGGTTTGGTTCGCCGAACAAACTGTTTGGAGTACTACTACAATTTGTGAAGATCATTGTATCCTGGGAGATAGACGTCACTCAACCGTAAGTACCATAGCGGGGCGAATCTGTCTTAAGGACAGAATGTCACACACTCGACTTGGTCTTGTAATTTTTATTTGGTTCGACAAAATAAATTCGGTATGTTATTTATTTATTTTGTTTGAATTTATTTCAAGTTTTTTTTATTTACACAGAAAATTGTTCCAATAATTAATGCGGGTGACAATCTTTTTAGAGGTTCATTGCCTGACTCCGTAGCTAATCTCTCCACATATCTTAGCTGGATAGATTTGCACAATAATCAAATACATGGAATCATTCCTTCAGGCATCGGGAACCTCCTTAACCTCACTGTCTTATCTATGTCAACAAATAATCTTGCTGGCCCTATTCCATCCTCCATTGGAAGACTTCAAAAGCTGCATGCTCTGTACTTAGACCAGAACAAATTCACAGAACTTCCATCTTCGCTTGGTAATTTGACTTCCTTGATTACTCTATACTTGCATGAAAACAACATCCATGGAGGCATACCTCCGAGTTTGGGCAATTGTCATAGCTTATTGACATTACTCCTTCATAAAAATAATCTCAATGGTTCAATACCCCTTGAAATTATGAGTCTCTCATCCATTTCAACATTCCTCACGTTAGATCACAATGCACTAACCGGTTCTCTTCCATCGGAAATTGGGTCTTTGAAAAATCTTGGATACATGGATGTATCCTATAATAGATTATCAGGACCCATACCAAACACTCTGGGTAGTTGTTTGAGTCTGGAATGGCTTAAGTTGGAGGCCAATTCATTTGAAGGAGAGATACCTCAAAGTTTGAGCATGCTGAGGGGTTTAAGAGGGTTGGATATTTCGTGCAACAATTTGTCGGGGCAAATCCCAAGTTATCTAGGTGAGCTTCAACTTGATATCTTGAATTTGTCTTTTAATAGGCTACATGGACAAGTTCCACTACAAGGAGTGTTTCAAAATGGGAGTGCAATTTCAGTTGTTGGAAATAATGAACTATGTGGAGGTACTGCAGAATTAGACCTTCCTTCTAGTCCATCCTCCAAATCAAGCAAGAATAAGCTATTTCACAGGATGAAAGTGATCTTGGTGGTGGTTGTTCTTGTGATATTTTTATCTTTGTTTGTCAGCTTCTTTATATTTCTTCAACGTTGTCATGTTTCAAAAAAGAAGACCTCTAGCACGTCCCCAATCATGCATCAATTTTTTAGGGTTTCTTATGCAGAGCTTCTCAAAGCCACCAATGGATTCTCAGAGGCTAATCCAATTGGTGTTGGGAGCTATGCTTTAGTTCACAAAGGAATTCTTAATCAAGTTCAGATGGTTGTGGCAGTGAAGGTACTCAATCTTCAGACCACATGAGCTTCTAAGAGCTTCATGTTGGAATGCAAGGCACTAAGAGCCATGAGGCACCGAAATCTATTAAAAATTTTGAGCATTTGTTCCAGTGTGGATTTCAATGGTGATGAATTCAAAGCTTCAGTATATGAATTTATGGCCAATGGAAACTTGGATAAATGGTTGCATCAAGTTGGAGTGGGAGACCATGAGCCGCCAGAAAAACACAAAAATCTTAAACTAATTCAGAGATTGGACATTTCCATTGATGTTGCTTCTGCACTTGAGTATCTTCATTGTGGTTGTGAGTCTACAATTATTCATGGTGATCTAAAGCCGAGTAATGTTCTTTTGGATGATGAGATGACGGCTCATATTGGAGATTTCGGGTTGGCAAAAATTATTTCTACTATTTTAAGTAACATGGCACAAGGTCCAAGCAATTCAGTTGCAATAAGGGGAACCATCGGCTATGTTGCTCCAGGTACAAAATCTTTTCAAGTTCCTTGGAGTAGAAAACCAATACTTGAAATAGGGAAAGTAATATATATACACACACATACATATATATGCACTTTGCATGGTAGAATAATTTCAGCATAAACAACCATACAAAAAACAATGGCTTTCTACAAAATAGTGTGCACCTACATATTTTTAACAATTTTTTTACACATATTCTATGTCATTTCTTAATGCTCCCAATGTGTGCTTCCACCTGCTCACTGTTAGCAAGCTTAAGTTAATCCTCTATGCCTCCTCTGTTTTCTTTTCTTTTTTTTATAAAAAGAAAATCTTCTTTCTGTAATTCTAGTATGAAAGTTTAGTCTTATCAAAATAGTCCATGGTATCTACTAGTGGAAAGAATTATTATAATACTTTGCAACCAAAGTATTTTGCAAAATCTTACTCAATTCTTGGAAACTTGTATAGTTGATTTTGATATACCTTTCCAATGCAAGACTAATATCTGTTTGCTTCAATGAAAAATATAATTAAATTGTCATTCTTAACAATGATCTCACTCAGTCACACGCACTCTCCAACCAAAAAACTTGAAATCTCATACAACATTAAAACCGTCTTAAAAAAATTAATAAATATTTTTTTTTGGGGATTACAATTATGTCGACTAACTAGATTCACTTTCACACTAACATTAGAAAGGGTCAGGCTTCTCTCCAGTCCCAGATCAGACTGGAGGGCACTGTTAGGCCCGTGGGGGCCCACAACGGATCCCGTTTGGATAATTTGAACCGTCAATGTGTAGAACTTGTCGAATACTATATGTCTGTAAAAAGTCACGTTGACCAAATATTGATAGCTACGTGATCAAATCAATTTTGTATAAAAAAAATGGACGGTGAAAAAATAAATGGTTGACAGAAATCTAATCCGATGAAATAGCTATTAATATCCGATCAACTTGTTTTTTTACAAGCATATAGTACTTGACAAGTTCTACACATTGAACGATTCAAATTATCGAAACGGGACCCGTGGTGGGATCCCACGAGCCCAACAATACCCTCAAGTCCGATCTGGGACTATAGGGAAGCCAGTCTCCATTAGAAACATTTTGCAGAGTATGGCATGGATGACATGCCTTCCACACTAGGGGATGTATACAGCTTTGGGATTCTTTTACTGGAGATGTTTACAAGTAAGAAACCAACCAATGATATGTTTAAGGATCATTTAAATATGCATATCTTCGTTAAGAATGCTTTGCCTGAACGAGTGATGGAGATTGTGGATCCCTACATCCTATTGGAGCATAAAACAACAAGGTGGCTTAACGACTGCATGGTTTCCATTCTAAGAATTGGGGTTGCATGTTCAATGGAATCACCAAGAGATCGACTGGAAATGGGGAGTGTTATTAGTGAATTGCATAAGATCAAAAATACTTACATGAATGCAGGTTGAACCAAGACTGGAAAATAGGAAGAGATTTTGCAACATGAAAACCTTAAGGTGTGTATCATACCCACTTGAGCTAGGCATATGCATATCAAAATGGAAATACTATACAATAATGGTTTTTTATTACTAAACACAAAAACATAGATTGATGTAGACTCCATTAACTTTGTATCTAGTGGTAAGAAATTTTACTCAAATTTTTTGTTTATGTGATGTTTTGGAAAGTTGCTAAAAAGCTAATTTTTTGGCTTTTTTGTGTAAAAAAGTAGAAAGATGATATGACTCAAAAAAGCCAAAAAATTGGCTTTTTACTAGCTTACCAAAACACCCCTACATATATTGTTACTCTACTAGAGTACTCCACCCCAACCACCCCCCCCCTCCTAAAGTGAACTAAAGCATGTTTTTCCTTTTGCTGCTCAGGTTACTTCCAATAATGGTTTACTCTACAAGACTACAAGTGGTGGCATCAGTATCTTCATATTAGCAATCTTTAATCTATTGCTTGAATAAAAAACTGTCACTTTTTCTCCCTTGGTTAGATTGCATTATACAAAAGTGTGTTCATGTGAAATGTCCCCAACTAAGATTGTATGACTAGAATTGTTGTTTGTATCCCTTTAAAATTATCATTTTGTTGTATGTCTTTTTCGTGAAATTGCATGTCTATATAGTTTTTACTCTTTAGTCATTGTTAAATTGTTGTTCAAAATTGACATTTGGAGATCAACCTTCTTTGCTTGTTTGATATTCAAGTACTTACTAATAAGGTTCCAAAAATAAAATAAAAACTTGGATAATTTACACTTTTCACCCTTCAATTTTTACCTTAATTTTATTTTTGTTCATCAACTTTTTAATTGTAACAATTAAACTCATAGATTTCAATCAGAGTTTTAACATAGTCTTTCCATCATCTCATTTTTTTTAAAAATTTGAGTGAAAATTGAAATATGAATAGCCAAGGTGGAATTTGAGTCAAAGTTATAGATTTAATGTCTAATTTTTTTCATATTTGTTTCCTTTAATGCCCTAAAAATGTACTTATGTGACCAACGCTTGTGCACTTTTTGCCCATTTTTTTAACTATGAATGATGGAAAGATTACATTGAAATAACAGTTGAAGTTTAAATCTTAATTAGTAAGTAAAAGATAAACGACTAAAATAAAATTCGAATGATAATTTGAAAGATAGAAAATATAATTTACCCAATAAATTTAAGTTCACAGTAATATCTAAGTCAAAATGCATAAGATAAATTTAAGTCCAAATTCCACCAACCATAAAATTATTCAAAAAGCATAATATGATCTCACTTCACATTCAAAAAAATAGATATCAAAGCCATATATAGAATATAATAAGAAGAAAAAATTAAATAAATTTTTCATTTTAAAACTTAAAACACTTTAAAATTTTGGAAAATTTTATTGGTGTGTAACATATGCATTTTTAATTATGATTTTTATGTCTTTAGTTATGACCTACTGTCTTGTTAATTATGGCATTCTTTTAATTATGAAAGAAGAGTTGTTAGGAATACTTCATGTGATATTTGGTAATAACTCATTTTTATTAGTTATGACTCCCATAGTATAACTACTACACATTTGGTTATGTCATTTGTATTAATCACACTCACAAATGATTAGTATTACAAGTAAATTATGAGTGCTGCTATTGTAATGGCCCATAATTTTTTTTTTTAAATAGCCAGCGCATAATTTAATTGAGCAAATTTTCGAATTTGATTGCTGTGAAAATTTTGTGTGAAAACAGTTCGATTTTGTATTTTTTAAAAATAGTTTCCGATCTTAGAAAATTATGAAATTTTTATATGTTGTTCCCATATGAGTCTAGCACGTCGAATAAAAATTTCAAAATTAAATGATGAGTATTTATTTTATGAAAATTCACGGACTGATTGGTGTTCAGTTTTATTTATAACAGAATTTGAAATTTAGTTTTGAGTGTTCAAACTAGGATTTGAGATAAATTTGTTGGGTCTATTTTGGTATATAATTGGACCATGTTTGACTTATGGGTGAGGCTCATGACTCAGATTTAATTTAATTTGAACTTGTTTATAACTCGTGTTTAACTATTTGGTCCTTTTTAATTAGGTGATTGGTAGTAACCACATTGGGAGTTGCTATTATTTATTATATAGGATTATAATAAATATTTGATAGTTGATTTTATGGTGTATACCATATGGTAAAAAATTATATATTTTTATAGTGAATAAAATGGGTGTATATTTCGTGGTGAGTAAAATATTATATTTTGTGGTGTACAAAATATTATATTTTGTAGTGAGAAAAAAATTATATAATTTTATAATTTATGTTACAAAATTTTGAAATATTATTAGCATATATATTGTACTAGTTAATGGGTTGAATAATACAAAAATAAATAAAATTTTGGAAAATGTGTGTGTTGGGATGTGCGTTGTGGCAGAGCGCATGTGGGCTATCTCTTTCTTTTCCCTATTTTCCTCATCTCCTTTACTTCCATCTTTCTACATTCTTTTTCTATTTTCGTTGAGCAGAGGCTCTGCTCCTCTCTTTCTCTCTCTTGTAATCCATAAAGGCTCAATCTTTGAGCTTGAAATGAGAGTCTTTAGAGTGAAATTTTACAAAAGTGTTGTAAATGAAAGTTGGAGAGCTCGTCGTGATCTTCGCAATGGTGTTCTCGGATTCATGATCGGGTGATGTTTGTATTTTCGGATTGCTTTTCTTCATATTTGAGGTAGGGACTTTCTTCATATTATTACATTAAAAATATGTTAGGGTTATTTTGAGAAAATATATATATTCATAGGAGGCATTACATATATATATTTTTTAGATTTTTGTTTGGTAATTTTTGGAAGAGAAATTATGTTAAAAATATTAAGAATATAGTTATTGTGAAATTGATTTGGAAAAATCATCTTGTGTTGGAAATACTTATTAAAAATCTGAAAATAAAAGAAAATAAATAGTTGTATGAGTTGTATCTACCTCATATTATGGTTAGATAATTTATTTTGGAAAAATAATGTTGAAATATTTATCTCATCTTTGAGCTTCGGAATTTATTTTTGAGAAGAAAAATAAATTGATATTGATGAATATGACGTGAATTGTTAATTTGAGATTATAGAATGATTTTGGGATTTAAGACTCTAAAAGTGTGATATTCATGATGTTTTGTAAATGTTAATTTATTAATTTTAGAAAAGTTGTGAAATTGTGGTTTGTAGAGATTTGGGAAAATTGGCTAGGCATGAAATGTGGGGGCATTTCGAGTGATGAGTCATGTAAATTTATGTTTGGTGTTATTAATTTTGAAGAAGGTGAACTTAATGGATTTACTAATTTGATGAATTAAATTAGTTTGGTTAATATTTAAAATCCTTCGTAATTAAAGGTGTTTTATTGGGTTTAAATTCCTAACTTTTAATATTATGAGATTAAAAGTGATGATGCTGACCAAGAATGAGATTTGGGGAATTAATCGAGATTAAGTTGATGTGATATGGTATTGGGTCTATAGCGATCCCAGTTTTCCTCCATTATTTATTATATTCCAGACTTGGTTTCCATCCTTTGAATTCTTTGTATTTGAGTTTTGGGATGTGTTGGGCAGGTTTGAAACAGGTTGGTTGTGATTAGAAACAAATAGCTACTGCCCAGATTTTGGTCTCCCTGCTTGAGCGAGCCCTTTTGCATTTGCTCCTCCACTCGAGCGGCCAGTCTGACGCTTGAGCGGGATTCTTCAGCCTTCTGTATTTTTTTCGCAAGTCCGCAGAAATTGGAAGTGTGCTTTCGATGCTCGAGCATCCGTTTTCACGCTCAAACGGGAATCTGTGTCTGACGCTCGAGCGGGGCGTTCCACGCTTGAGCAGACTGTGTGTATTTCAGTTTGAGAAAAAGCCATTTTGAATCACTTTTTCGGCTCTCTCTCTCTAAAGCATTCCAAAACCCTAGGTTGAGAGCTTCTCACTCTAGAATACTCCCTCTCTCTACATTTTGATCTTGATTTAGTGAGACCCAACCCTTATGTCTTCATTAAAGTATTGGAGCTTCTCAAGACCTCCATTTCCATCCGAATAAAAGTTGATTTCGCCACCTTTGGAGCTCACCACTTGCTTGGTTCATCTTCTCCTTTGAGCTCCGAAATTTGAGGTAGGGATAACTACTCATTTTTATGAGCTTTGACATAAACTTTAGGCATTTTGATTAAATAGTGGAATTATGGAAATTTTGGAAAGGTAGGGTTTGAGATTTGAAATGTTAGCAAGAGGGGCTTTGTAATTTTGAGCTCTATGTGCCTCTGAGTCCTTGAAAGTGAGATTAGTGGTGTATAATGGGTAGAATGTGGACTTGGAAACAATATTTGAGAATAGGGAAAAAGTGGCCTAATTTAATGTAATTGATTAATTTGTATAATTAATTTAGTAATTGTGGGAATATGAAATTGATTTGAAAATCATAAAATTGGATGTAATTGAGATTGAATGGTGTAGTTGGATTGATTAATCACTCACCTAAGAAATTGTTGATAGTTTATCTGTTTGATAAATTTATTATCTATTTAGAAATAACTGTTTTGGGCTATCAGTGGAGGATAGTCTTGATTGTTGTAGATACTGTATGATGATTTGGTAAACTGAAACTAATCACCTAGAATATGTCATTGAATATGACGGTTGAAATAACACATTGTATATGTGCGTTAAATGATCATTGTATATGATAAAGTGTTTAAATACATTGCATATGTATCTTGCATGGGAGGAGATAGGGGATGTACTCCATGGGTTGGGAAGAGATAGGGGATGTACTCCACTGTTTGGGAGGAGATAGGGGATGTACTCCATGGTTTGGGAGGAGATAAGGGATGGACTCCATTGTTAATTGAGTTCTAATCTCATTTTGAATTATTGATAATTAAAGTGTTAATAACATGAGTTGTAGTCTCGTTTTGAATTGTGGATAATGGGAGTGTTGA